ACCCATCATTGCATTTGCCCCATCGCGATGGGGCAAATGCAATGATGGGTGCGCATCATTCGCTAAAAACGGCTGCAAATCCTACTAAATTATTTTTAAAAGGAATATTATTTTCTGTAAAAAAACTTACTATGACATTATATAGATTTTGGGCATAGCTATCTCAACTAATATGAGTCCAAGTTATTATTATATCGAACTACTATGGCTAAATGTTTTTCCGAGGAAATATCTGTGGATTCATCGACCATTAATGAAAATTTTTTAACTTTTAGGTCAGAAATAAAATATCCAAAACTTGTTTTTCCTATAACGTTATTGATAATAGCAGTGCATTTTTTTCTGTCACAAGACTAGGCTCCATTCCAGATAAACAAATAGATTTGATAAGTTCAGTCAAATGATCAGAAACGTTAATTGCAAGATTATGCTCTGCAATAAATGAAGCAATTCTAATCTCACTTTGTTTAATAATTTTATCAGATGGAATAGTAAATAGTTTTTTGGACAAACTTGATTGAGTACGCATTTTATTCATATTATAACAATGTTTTTTTGATAAACTATGTATTTTAACAGCAGCTACTCCACCTATATAGTCTTTATTGCATATTTTGCATTTAAAATGATTTATACCATGAGAGCTTGGCGTTAACCATTTTCTGAAATCATCATGTTTTTCCCACTCAGCTTTATATTTATGTGCGTAAAGCTTATTTTTCTTTTTCCCTATTGGAGTTGAAGAGTGATCAGAATCAGACTCCGAATCGGAAATTGAATCCGAGTCAGATTCATGTGCTATAGCACCTTTTTCTTTTGCTTCAATCTTGCTTGTGCTTGGTTGTGAAGAATGTATTTGAACAACAGGTTCTTGTTTTTTCCTAATTACAAATTGGTCCATATTTCGCCTTTATTCTAAAAAGAAAAATTAAAAATAATCAAAAATAATTTTACAATGCAATCGTGTCATATAGGCTTAGATATTTTTGAATTTAAACAAATACTTTTTAAGCTGGGTTCTTACAGAGAAATAAGGTAATATAATTTAATTTAACTTTAACGCCCACAGAAATAACGTAATATAATTTAATTTAACTTTAACGCCCACATATAATTTAATTTAACTTTAACGCCCACAAATACCAACGCGTCAAAGTATCTGATAGTTTAGATATGACCACTGTACGAATGCTCCCTCTGTACGAATCCTACCTGCTCCCCCTAATATTTAATTTAATATTTCTTAAAAAGTAAAACGGCCATTTATATGCTAAGACATAAGATATTTATTTTTTTTTGTGAAATTTAAACCAATCATTGCACGTTTCACTGGTGACAATGTTAGTTTAGAAAGGCAGGAAATTATTATTTTGCCAGGGACACACGGGGCCCAAATTATAAAGGCAGTTCCCTATCTGAACTATAGTTCTATAGTTCTATAGATCAGACTATGTCCCTGTGCAGATGGTTTGGTATGTACCCTTAGATAAGAACAAACATTATATGCTTGGGTTAAATTGTGAAATAAAATTTTAACTTACCTTTAAAGACTGAGATAAGATTAGACATGCCTCATGAAACTCATAGTCCCTCAATTGAAAAAATTATTTCATTATCTATCAAATATATTTGCACTATACACTCCACAGATTAAAAAGGCAGCAAAAGATTTTGCAAATGGTTGCCGATAAGAACGAAGCGTGCTTCTCCCACCCAAAAAATACCTAACGTTTAGCATGTCATTGAAAACAATATAGGTACTACGTTTTGCGCATTGAAATATTAAGTCCTTTAAAAACCCCTATATATTGGGTGTAAAAAGGTACAATAATTGATTCGATGGACAAGTAGGATGTAATAAACGATATATCTTATAGTTCTTATCTATGTAGCATGATTGATACAAAAAAGTATCGCTACTTGTAACAATGATATTTAAATATCTCTTTAAAATTTATAGTATTAGCATGAGCTATTAGTTTGTACTACATTTAATTAAAGGTTTCATTTGACCATAAATATATGTGTTTATTTAATAAATATTATTTCTTTTAAATCCAATAATAATGTGATATAAAATCTAACAATATGTATAATATACATTGTATATATTTAAATTAAGTTGATTACAACACTTAAGCTAACTTCACTTCGTTTGTATGAATGGGTTTGCTCTCAATAATAAGACTATTGTTAAAAATACCTTAGTGTTTTTTCTGTGTAGTGACTGATTTTATAGTATTTAGAGCCTCTAAGGTATTTTTCATGGTAAGTATTTCTGGGTTTATAACATTTTGGTTTTTTTGCTATTTTGCCTGTCAACAACATAAGTGATAAAAAAGTTTTAAAATCGACTATATAAAAACAAAGACATAAATTAGACCACACACGTAAAACAGAAATAATGGATTTTAGCGAATCGCAAAAAAACTTTATAAGTAATTTATTTAATGAATTAAACAATAATACAACAAAACAAAATCTCCAAATAAAGGAAGTCGCATCACAAGTGGTTGAATTGAGAAAGGAAGTAAATAAAGTTTTTGACGGATACGATAATAAAATAGAACATCTTGAACAGCAAAACCAAAAACTGCATGAAACAAATTTACTACTCCAAAGAAAAATAAGAAAAAACAACACGAAAAGAACAAGATAGTACTGGCAAACATGCCAGATTATTCTCAGATACATCTGAGTGAAAAAAAATTCAGATGCTCGTGAGGACTATCCAGATACAACTGAGATAAATGTAGATTATATTTAAATCTATCTCAGATTTACCTCAGATGCATCTTGGATTATATATCGTTAGATACTTCTGGTAACTATCCGAGATTATTCTCAAATAAATCTCCGACACTTTTTGGCTAGCGCGTGCGCGTTGAACGTAGTCATTTATTTTTTTATTTTATTTTATTTATTCTTCATTATATTTATTTATTTATAATATATATCAAATATTATATTTTAAATTAATATTATGTATACATATAGTATACATACAATATATATTATATTTATTATAATTAAACCAATAAAATCTCTATTGAAAGAAACAAAGCTTTGAAAATAAAATTTTTAACTTCGAGTAATTGTTGAAATTGAAAATCATTTATTTATTTATCCAATTATAAGTAATAATATAAGTTTTATATCGGTAATATAAAAATAAAAATAATTGATAAAATACAATAAAGTATACAAATATCCCAAATTATGATTATACCCATCGTTTGACAATATATTTTTTTTTATTTCCGGCTTCAGTTATGTGTGCAACAGAACATGATTCTAAATCATCTGATCCTATTACTTTCCAATTTGGAGCGTCATCAAAAGCAGATGGGTAAATCTCATAAGCTTGATAATGTTCATCTAAATTTCAGTAACTAGTGATATCTTTTGCAATTATAAATAATTGTTTATTAAAATCTTTAAATATAATCAGAACTAGTAAGAAATTTGGTCCCGTCTCTGTTGGAGTCATGAGAATTGCGTTGGTTTTAATCGACCTCGCTTTGAATTTCATACACACTTCCTGTAATATTTTTTGGTAAAAATTGACGAAACGATGAATACTGAGGCAGATCTTTAAGTAGAGTAACATCACTTAATTCACAGTCCTGATTACTGTCATTTTGATGATTTAATGTAAATCGGTAGCTTAAATGTAGTTGATTTTTAACAGCTACTGTTTTGCATATATTTTGTCTACTTATTGCAGAACGTGCTGCTACTTTTGCTTCTTTATTCTTACTCTCGGCTCTCATTGTATTAAGATTCCACAGAGGACCCATAAATCTCATAATCTCATAATCCGTCTGTTCTGTAACTGCTGTATAATTTGTTAATTGATTCAATAATCCTTGATTAATAAAAATTGATAAGCATGTCGGCGTAAATAGCTTGGGTGGGAGCCATCCTTTTCATTTTTTTTGCCCACGCAATTGCTGTTGCATCAAATTCGTCCAAAGAATCCGTGGTTTCAAGTTGAGTTTTACAATAATTTATGAAGTCAATCTGGGATCTATTTTGTTTTGAACTCCTGGCTTTCTTAATTGGAACAAGTGGGCGTTTTGGAGGTTGATTATCAGATGTTTACGGAGATTCTAACGGCCTTTTAGTAGACATCTGAAAAACAAGTTTTCTTGTTACAGTTCCCATCTACAAAGCAAGAATGGCTTTAAATAGCAAATGGATTTGAAAAAAAAATGGCAACTGCGGAGGGGCTCTTGATGGCAAACATTTACGCATAGTACCTCCCCCTCGTTCAGGAGCACAATATTATAATTTTAAAAATTTTTATAGTATTGTTTTAATGGAACTCGTCAACTCCAACTATGAATTCATTTTTGTTGACGTTGGAAAAAATGGAAGATTATCTGATAGTGGAGTAATTGAAAGCACGGAATTTTATCATAAATTGGTAAATGGTAAGTTTATTTTATTATAAAAGAAGTTCATAATTATATTTGATTTTTGTTTCAGACCAGTTAAATTTACCAAACAACACTGACACTAAAAATAATATGAATTTTGTATTTTTGGGAGATGAAGCATTTTCTTTACATGAACACTTTTTAAAACCATTTCCCCAAAGGGATCTTTCTTATAGCAAAATAATTTTTAATTATAGACTGTCGCGAGCAAGAAATGTCTCTGAGAATGCATTTGGACTTATAGATTTAGAATTCTCCATACCCCTATACATATGACATATCCAGAAAATATAAATTATGTTGTACTTGCTATTTGTGCCTTACATAATTTTCTTAGAAAGCGCGATATACATCATCGACAACATTTGATCAAGAAAACCTTGTAACACATGAATTGCAAATGGGTGACTGGCGAAAAAAAGCTGCTAAAATGAACCGAGATAATTATTCTCATTATTTTAATACAAATGGAAAAGTTCATTGGCAAGATGAAATTTTAATTAGAGGAAAAGCTTAATTTGTATATAATTTGTTTTTAATAAATGTATAAAAAATTACCTGTGTATCTTTGCGTTCGAAACCATCATCTTTATGTTCTTCAAGTATTTCACTAGCTTCGGTTTCTTCTGCAATACAATTTTTCTTTTCTTCTTCTTCAATGTTGGATATACTTTTTGTGGGTAGTTCCTGGTCAATTGTAAACATAAGTAAATTAAAGTACCACAGTGTTGGCGAATGAATTTCATCGGAACCAGCTCCACTTCGTTTTGAGTCCTCTATTTTTTTAATTTTTTTCGAAACGATCCGCGAAAACTTTGAATTTTTTTAACAACGTAATCCCTATTAGCTTCAGGATTTATTGTTTTACAAAATTCCACGAATTTGTCGTAAGCGGCATTTTTCAAATTACGGTTAGTATATTCGCGACTTTTAATTTTCCATAGGCATGGAACACTTTTATATATTTCAATAAAATTTGTAACTGCTTCTTTACTCCAAAATCGTGTATCTGTCATTGCGTAAATCTAAAGCTACCTAATCTCTAAAACAATAAAATAAAAATAAAAAAACACAAATTAAGGTAAATTAAAACGTACTTACAGTCTTGAAATTTCACAAGGTTAACCGCGCGAAAGTCAAAACAACTTAAAAAACTGAACTGCACAAAATCCCTTGGGAATCAGGTTTTAAAAACCGATTGATTATTAGCATTTACACTGACGTTCTTTCGCGCGCGATTGGAACGTGGCGCTCCAATCCCGCGTGAGTGCGCGTAAATCTATAGCTACCTAATGAAATTGTAAACAATAAAAGTGGCGACTAAAGAATGAATGTATACTGGGTTGCCTAAATTCCCTAAATTCGTGATTTTTAACATGCGCGAATAAAGATTGAACAGACCTTGTTGTGTGGATTGTGGTACTGAATTTTATTTGTTTACTTAGAGAAAATCTATCAAGTAGATCTAAAAGTCTTGTTCAGATATTGGATTTTTTATCAAAGTCAATATTAAAATATCCTGTTAAGAACACATTATATTTTTTGTTTGCAAATTTATTTGTTATGTATTGCAAAACATGTTCCAATACTTTTTTAAAAGTTTCTATGTTACCTTCTGGTGATCTATAGGTGGTAATAATTATACATTTTATCTTGGGATATTTAACTCGAACAATTTCGACATGTTGTTCGATGCTGTGCCCCTTTATTTCTTCAATTTCTCTTGTTTCAATGTCTGACATATTAAGTATCAGTACTCCACCATGTTTTCTGTTTGTTCTACAGTAGATAGATGATACATTATGTAACGGGTGGGTTTTTGGGTTACTTAACGAGGGGAGCGGGGCTGATATCGACTACTATCAGTCCGTTACAAGGATGTTACCACTAATCTGACCTTTGATCCAGCGACGGTTGCCGATGATTTTGTAATCCCAATAAGCACGAATCACCACACTAAGTCACTCGCGACGGATCTCCCGGAACACTTCGCGAATCACGATATACTTACGCCTGCCAACCACCGGGTAATTTAGAATTAACAGGTACCCAAAGAAACAAAGCAGATTCTAACCACAAACAATATATTTACAATTAAGGAGAAGAATAAAAATTAACAAAGAAAATAAGAAAAATTAATAATTTAACGGTAAAGAAAATTAACAAAGAATCTACGGAGAATTAAGATTAAAAAACTAACTTTTGAATTAAACTGATAAGCGAAAACTAAATTAACTTTATAAAAAGTTAACCTAAATGAATCTTTTAAAACTAATAATTTAAACTACAAAATTTAAACTAAACCAGTCACTTAAGGTGAACTCAACTGCGAACACCGGTATAAGCAATTTACAGTAAACTTGACAATATACCTGACTTTAATTAATTACACTCACTGACTGGCCAAAACTTCGAACGTAACTCGGAAACGACTGGGTCCGAGGATGGCGCAGTGGGTTAGGCTACAAAGCTGTGCAATCTGCGTCTAACGGTACCGGGTTCGATTCCCGGTCACAGCCCTGGGTGTTGTGATTGTTTATTAAGACAAAATATACATATAATGTGCTGGCTAAATAGGTTGAAAAATCCTAAAGCCAATAAAACTTAAAAAAACAAAAAAACTCGGAAACGACGCGCGCGAAATCTAGCAAGATAAAATCTCCAGAACGCAGCTGAGCGGCGTGCAGTGACATATTTCTACCCCTACTTAAGTCAATTGACTCTGACATAGCCTGAAATAATCGGGGTTGCCTAACTACAGGGTTAGTTGTTTTTGATAAAAATTTAAATATCTTAACTAAGTCCAAAAAATGAAAATATCCTGTGTCGGCAATCACTAAATACCCTTTTACTTCAACCTAAATTATAAATTTAGACAATTTTCTAGGGTTACATTAAATTCTTAGAACGTATCTGTAAAACTACTTTACGGCTGGTTATATCCTTATCTTAGTCCTAATTCTCTAATCCAAATGATTATTAACTAAATCAATTTGTTATTATTCTAATAACTACTTTCTCTATTTTTAAATTTTCCAACGATCGATTTAAACAAAGGGAAGCGTTTTCAAATGACCGTTAAGGCTTTCCGTACACGTTTCCGCTGGTGACTTTTTTTGGACAAAGGAACTTTCTATCTACTTATTTATTACTTCCAAAACATGCTCCTAAGGCCACCCCAGTGGCTCTCTTAAAAAGTATTAAAGTATTAAATTTCTTATTACTTCAAAACAACAATTTCTTTGAATTTAGTGGAACTTAAGATTTTTCCCCTATTACAATTATAATTTTTTATTTTAAAATAATTTAAGTGTTCATACATAAGCCAATGCTCACACCCACATACATAATCCATATCTAAATTTTCTAGAATGTTATTTAGTTGATCTATTTTGTTTGTTATTGATTGTATGTTAACATGCATTATAGAAATTAGTTTAGGCTTTGTTTGGGGCATATGTAACTCGAAAAAACTTAAATTTCCTAACTACAATACCTTTTGGCCATACCTTCGGTTTTTTTATTGATTCCTTAATTTTGAAATTAAATTCCACCTTAAACGATTTATTTTTACTTTTATTTTGTTCGTGTTTTTCAATGTCTCCTCTTTTAAATGTTTCATTTGGAAATTTTGTTGTCAAATGTTCTATTATTTTTTAACAGTTTGTTTTGGCATTGACCTTGCCTACGTAAAACCATTCCAGTGCATCTGCGGCACTAAAAATGTTTTCACCTGTCGCTGTTCCTCTGGTTGTATTTTCATTTATTTTTGCCTTCTTCTTCGTGACCAATTCAGTCCACTTTTCTTCCTTCTCCATTTCTTGATTTTTCCCATTACTCGTTGAGTCTAGTGTTGGTTTATTTAAGACTTCTGAATTTATTTCTTTGCTTGTTGAGGACTTCTGTTTTTGAGGTGGCTCCACCTTTTGTCGGGTAGTGGAGGTAGCATTTGCATTGTTGGCGGCTTTTGAATTTGGTGTAGATAGTTTAATAGTTTTTTTATAATTTTTTTCTGGTACTTGTAAAGACGAATTATTTTCAATACTTGCATTTTAATTGATCTTCAAGTCTAGCTATTTTCTCAGCCAGTAGTTTGTTATTATCCATTAGCACACTATTTTTACTAATTAGTTCTTCAATTAGGATTGTTTGGTAATATATTTCAATTTCACTAGCACTTTTGGGTTCGCACCCTACTTCCCTTTCAAAGAATCAGATTCCAAAATGTCAGTGTAAACGTGAATCAGGAAGGAAAACTATAAAATAAATATTATGTCCCTTACCACTTTGCAAAGTTGACTCTCTTTCAAATTTATTTGTCCCTTTTGTAGATTCTGTAATAATTAAATTTTGTTATGTCTTTTTTATTAGGTTTATTCTCGGGTTTACTCTTTTATTCGGCCACGTCAGCCATTTTTATATTTTTTTAGTTAGGTTTATTCTCAGAAACTCAGAAACTACTTGAGTCACAAAAAAATGTAAGGAAGAAATATTCCAAAATATTTTTTTTTGTATTGTATTTTTGAATTATTAATTCTTTACACTATTTTAGGTAAAGTTTGTAAATATATTAATTAAGACAATGTTACTATTTGAGTAAAATGAGATTTATTAAAATTTTTCCAAATGTAGAAATTCGCTAACAGTAAAAAATAAGCAACTACAAGTTATTATGTTTATCTTATGTAGTATTCATCTCTTAAATAATCACTAAGCTACAAACTGATCATTTTTTGAAAATATTATACAGGTTGGTTTCGATACCCCGTGGAAAACAGAGATCACTTACTGAAGTGAGCTGATTAGAAATGCACCTAATATTATGGTAATTATTAGAGTTATGACTGGTAAATTGATCAGTCAATTTACCGCTAGCTCTTTGACTAGTCAATTGGCCGGTCAAATTATATTAAATTTTTTAGAATTTGTTTTAGGTTTTAACAACATTTTTTATTCTCCTGAAGGTGTTTGCGAACACCCAGAATCAGATTCCAAATATAATTCTGATTCTGATAATTTACCATTATTTTTATTTTATTTTTTTAATAAAATATTATTCGTATAAATTTTTTTTATTTTGATTTATTTTATTTTTGAATTTATTTTGGTCAATTCACTGGTCAACTTAAGTATGGTTTACATCCACGAAACGTAAGCGATTAAGAAAAGTTGAATCATATAGAAAACTATGCACCACTTTAATTAACGTACGAGACGTAATGTACGGAAAAGTTCGCCCAACTTCAACTTAAGAGAACCCGTCTGTTAATTTGACCAATCACAGGGCATATAACAAAGCATAGCATTATATACTTTTCTCTCTTAACTACAGTTATACTTGTACTTGTATTATTGTATTTGCTTTTTATTGTGTTATAAAGTCTGAGGTTCATTACTAAGAACGACGGAGATTTAATTTCTTACGTTCAATCTTATCCGCATCTTTACGATAAGAAAAGGTCGTGTGCCATTCTCAATCACCAGAAAAAACGTCCCAAACTGGACGATGACGGCGACGAATTATTTGGGAGGCAGGTAACATCCTTTTTAAAAAAAATTAAAATTCCAAGAAACAAAAGACGTTTTAAAAAACATGTATTTTCAATGATTTTAGATATAGAGGATGATGAAAAAGATGTTAATTTTGAAGAGGACATTTTTTCCTCTACTTATATATGTTTCTTGCCAAGGAACTGCCCCCTCATTACAAAAATAATTTGCCAGTTGATCACGAAAAAATTTCTTTTTGGCATTATTACTACCCAATCGACGGATAGGCTAAACTGACTGGCTTTCATAAACATTGCTTCTCCATTCTCCTAACTGTTAATTACCTAGAAATTAAAAAAAAATTAAATTATTGGTAATAATAATAATAATAATCTTTATTTTATATTTATAATGCACATATATTATAGTATAAAACATCATTCTTAAAATATAATAATAATAATAATAACCTATAACCACCTATATATACTACAAATATATTATATAAAAATATATTATATAAAAATATGTCATACCAAACCTAAGAGAAGGTCCCATTTTCAATAAAATTTTCAATTTTATGTGGAGGTTGTTCAAATAACCAGACTTTAATTTTTTGTATTTAGTATTTGTTAAAGAGATAGGCAAAAAATTGTACAGTCTGGGAGCTAAATAAGTATGAGATTTTATTCCAATAGTTTTTGTTGCTTTTTTTGTTGTTATATTTATGCTGCCCTTTGTATTATATGCATGAGTTTTGGTATATTTTTCGTTTTTAAATTGCCACTTTATTATTTGTTGGGCATATATATTTGTCTAACATTTAATATGTTTTTTTCTTGCAAAAGTTGGTTACCCGAGTAGTACAACCCTTTTTTAAACATTATTTTTACAATTCTTTTATGTACCCTTTCCAGATTATTCAAATGCGTTTTAAGTATGCCTCCCCAGGCTAGTATCCCATATCGCAGTACCGAGTTTACAAGTCCATAGTAAGCAATCTGTATTTGTTTTTCATTTAAAATATTATTTAATTGCTTAAATGAATAAAACATTTTTTACTTAAATAAGTAATATGGGTATCCCATTTAAAAATGAGCATCTAGGTGTATTCCTAAATATTTTATTTCATTTACTTATTCTATTTCCAAATTATTTTCGGTTTTTATGGACTTGTTTGTGGGCAAGGACCTAAGATATGAGCCAAAAGGGACATACTTAGTTTTCTTAACATTCATGGTAAGGAGATGACTATTAAAAAAAGATTTTATTGTATGTAGATCTTTTGCGGCTTTTACTCTTACACTGAAAGAAATATATGTTTGTTTTAGCAATGTATGTGATTCATATATGGACTACCACATACATTGCTAAAACAAACATATATTATATTTAGTTTTAACATAATATGTTAAAACTAAATATAAAAATGGTTAAGGTAAATATATTTTATGTTTCATATATGGACTACCACATACATTGCTAAAACAAACATATATTTCTTTCAGTGTACTTCTTCCCAAGTGTTTCCCCTTATAAATATTACCGTATCATCCGCGAACGAGATGATTTCGCCGTTTATTTTAAGTTCAAGGAGATCGTTTAGATATAATATAAATAACAAGGGCGCCAAGACAGTTCCTTGTGGGAATCCAAACTTTACATTTACCTTACTACTCAATATGTCATCGATTCTAACTACTTGAGTTCTATTTTTGAGACAGTTTTTTATTATATGGTAAGTATTGCCTCCTAAACCCAAGGTCAAATATCTTTTTTTTCTAAAATTAACTCTTGAATAATTGTATCGAAAGCCTTCGCAAGGTCTATAAATATTCCCAGGGAAGGTTTTGATTTATCTAAAGCATCATAGACCCTATCAGCCAACAGCCCTATAGCATCTTGTGTCGACATATTTTCCCTAAAGCCAAACTGCCGACTGCAGAGTATGTTGAACTTATTGAAAAATTTAATCATCCTCTTTTTGAGAAATTTTGCAGATTTTGCATATATTGGATGTTAGTGATATGGGCCTATAATTTTGCAGATCAAGTTTGTCACCCTGTTTATAAATAGGTACAATAATTGCCGTTTTAACTTCTTCCGGACATATTGTTGTTTTAAATATAAGGTTAGTAGTCTGGATATAATATTTGAATTAAATTTCAAAAAGACTGTCTGTATATTATCTACCCCGGGAGCGTCTTTACTATACGTACTGCATGCCAGCACAAGCTCCGCCTATGTTACTACGTCATCGCAGAGTTGCGAAATGGAACGCAGCGTCAGCACGTTCTCCTAAATGTACTGCATGCCAGCACAGGCTGCTACGTCATCGCGGAGGTGCATAATCGTACGCAGCGTCAGCACGTTCTCCTAAATGTACTGCATACTGGCCCGTAATATTTGGCGTCGCCCTTATTTCATTTACAGCATTGATTTTCAAAAATACGTATGTATAGGGAAATACAAAACTATTTATTGTAATATTTTGGCGTCGCCCTTATTTCATTTACAGCATTGATTTTTGAAAATACGTATGTATAGGGAAATACAAAACTATTTATGTAATTATTAAACTATATTATTTTAATTATTAAGACTAGAACAAAAAAAGAATTTCTAAAAACTACTTATGTATTTATAAAACTACATAATATATTATTAATGTAAACATTAACTAAAGAAAAAACTAACAACTAATTCATACACCTAATTAAAAATTAAATTAAATGATAAAATATCTTAGGTATTGTATTTGAAAAAAAAATTTTTTAACGTCTTAGTGAATTTTAGCATTTGGTTGATTTTTATTTATATTGTCTTTTAAAGAATGCTTGATTTTTGTCCTTTTGCGTTTACAGCCAATTTCTTCATTACTGGGACGTCCTGCTATCAGCATCTTTCTGCCTATTTTCAAACCTTCGCGTTTCTTCTGTCGACTTATTGCTGTAGGTTGAACTCTGATTAGCTTGCCCCTGTTTGATGCCTTGTGCGAATAAAAGTCACACAGCTGAGATGGTGTTTTGACCGATCGAAGTGTCTTTATATATTTGAGTACTACATTTTTATTGCTTTCATTAACATGTTTTTCCGTTAAAGAACGATTCTAACAAACTCGGCTTTTAGTGAGTTGACAATTGGCGAATAATCTGGAGCTGAATTTATGTCGTCTTCGGCTTGTTCATTGTTTTGCAAAACTAAGATATCAGATGATTTTTCAGTTTGTGAAATATTTACGCTGCTAGTTTTGTTATCTAAACACATATTTAGAAAAAAATCTTGTGGAACGTTTTATACAACTGCCATATATGCCAACTTGACTTTATCATTTTCTGACAATTTCGGGCAATTTTCTGTGAATGCTCAACGGCACAAATATGTTTGCAGTAAGCACCACCGCCACCACTGGGACAATCACAGAACGTATGATATTTCATCGTAACTGTGTATAACATATTAGAGTCCTTGAAA